TAAGAGGAGACAAAGATGATAATAATAATAATAAAAGTAATAATAGTAATGTGAAAACAATTTGAGACAGTTTGTTCTCACTTTAAAACTACCCTGGTAATATAAGCTTATTATTCAAAGTGATCAGGTTTCAAATTGTCTCCATATTATTATTATTACTTTTATTATTATTATTATTATTATTATTATTATTATTATTATCCTTGTCTCCTGTTACGCTCCATTTACAGTCTAGTAGATCTTTTATTTTTTATACATAAATGTTCTTACCAAGTATATGTGTGATCAGATTGTTCGAAATGTATTGCATTAATTTATTGCATAGTTCTGATAATCTTCGTCTTCTTATTACACCATCAAAAATTATGAAAATCGAGTAAACTGATATGAATTTAATTTTTTTTAATAGAAACTAAGATATTTCAGTGAAGAAAATTTTCTTTTTGACAATAATCTCTCGAGTTATACAATCATACTTATGAGTAGATTTTACAAGTCACAGTCTAAAATATAAAGAAAATGTCATATCATTAAAAAGATAGTTGAACATTTTGAACTTTACAACATAGCAGACTACAATACAAAATGAAATAATGTTGTATTTTAATGTCATGTAATAATATCAGACATAATAAGAAATGCCCAGGGTAATTGTCTACTTCAGATCCATTGGCCGGACACTATTAGCAACAACGTACTGTGGGAGAGAACAAACCAGATCCCAGTGGAGGAAGAAATCAGGAAGAAGCGCTGGAAGTGGATAGGACACACATTGAGGAAAGCACTCAACTGCGTCACAAGACAAGCCCTCACATGGAATCCTGAAGGTCAAAGGAAAAGAGGAAGACCAAAGAACACATTACGCCGAGAACTGGAGATAGACATGAGAAAAATGAACAAGAATTGGATGGAACTAGAAAAGAAGGCCCAGGACAGAGTGGGTTGGAGAATGCTGGTCAGCGGCCTATGCTCCATTGGGAGTAACAGGCGTAAGTAAGTAAGTAAGTAATTGTCTACTTCAAATAAATGAAGATGAATTATTACATAATAATTATTGCTTACGGATTTGTAAAAGTTTGAAAGAGTCCGTAATAGATTTTGGTGATTTCATCACATTATTATAAATATTAATTATGAAAGAATTAAATACTTACAAAATAAATGAAAACACAATATAAAATTTGATTTAATTTATTTGGATGGAGTTCTGTTCTCTGAGCTGGATGGTTTGGTCGCGGAACTTTCATCGTTCTTCTGAACGACGTCATCGGCTCAAACTTCGGATAGAAGTGAAGTGTTCGAATTTCTCCATATGCGTTTCACAGCTTGTTCTGTACGCCTCGACGTTGATTGGTTCATATTGACAAAAGGTCGACTTCAAGGTTAATTTTAAGGTCAATAAGAACCAATCAACGTCGATGTGTACAGAACAAGCCGTGAAAGGCATATGGAGAAATTCGAACACTTCACTTCTATCTGAAGTTTGTGCTGATGATGTCGTTCAGAAGAACGATGAAAGTTCCACGACCAAACCATCCAGCTCAGAGAACAAAACTCTATTCAAATCATCCACCTGAGCTACAAATCTTCCCCACCATCTCAAGATTTAATTTATTATTTATATGAAATACTGAATAATAATAATAATAGACAAGTAGATGAGATATGGATAATTAAAGTCACCATCACGAAATTATCGAAAGTATATATCGAAAGGATATTAATAGTTAAAATAGTTAAACAATAACATGCAAAATAGAAGGTTACATAAATGAAATATAATATAAACGAACGTTAGTTTATCAAGTAAATACAACTAGGAAAGCGAAAAATCATGCCATCTGTTCAGGTGCCTTCGATATATATATATATCAATGGGCCAAATAATAAATAAAAGTTTAAAAGTGACATTTTAATAATAGATGATTATGAGGTCGAATTGTTAAAGATAATATTTGAATACATAGAAGTCACTTTAAATTATCCTACTTTTTATTTCGAAAAAATTAATGAATCATTTTAAATGATAGATAACTAATTTTATTGAGTTCATAAACCGACGTGAATTAGACAATCATTGTAAAACTTGAAACATTGGATAGTCATTTCATCTTAGTACGGTACCCATCAGCACTATCACGACTTCATAGTCGAACACAGGACGTGTGCTCAGAAGCTTAATCTTTCGGCCAGTGAGATAAGATTCAGTGGTGTACATGTCCACTTTCAACCAATTCACGATACTGAACGGCCGTCTTAAATCTTTCTTGGTGATTAACTTCCTCACACTACTTCATCACTTACTAGTTTTACATTCCTTAATAATTTTCATTTTGCTTTTGAACACAACGGTAAATCTATAAATTTCATATGCTGTAACTAGAATACCTTACGCAGGAGTTATCCGCAACTGTCGGTTATTGACATGTTAAGTGTAGCATATCTAGGAATGGCGGATAAAAAACACAAATCTAGTAATAATTGAGGTTCGATGTGAAAATTTATTGAAATTGCAAATCTCTATGTAGTGGTCACCCACTAAAAGAAAGGAAAATTTATAGAAATATTTAGGTTTGATACATATACTTGACATGAGTACTTTACAAATAACTTGAGTTTGAAATTCTCTAACTTTAATCAATTCATCATATAACGTGACTTACATCAAATGGTATCGCCCAATCAATGCCTCATAGACATTTTTCCTTTATCTGGTAAAATACAGCTTCTTAATTAAACTATGGAAATTTTATATAGTATTAATTTACTAGAGAAAAAACCGTCGTTTTATAGTTATATGGTTCGTGTAGATTTGTTTAATTAATAAATACATTTTCATGACTAACGTAATATCATATCTTTCTTGAGAGTGGAATGTCTTATCCCCAATTTCATATGTGGATGTCAGTGTAAGCTGGGCCGAAATCTCAAATCCATTCAGAGTATTCATTTAATGCTTTCTGATTTTCAGTAATATCCTATGTGCTTTCAGCATTTGTTGAAAGTTGCACTTGAATCAAGAATAATCCTCTATGTAACCACGCCAGAAATTGATAGAAATGGCCTAAAACATACTATTAAAAATACTTAATATCAAGGCAGAAATCAGCTGCGAAACTATTGAAAACTAGGGAACACAGACTAGTTGTCTCATTCTAGGTTTGATTTCTTCTAAACAATTCACTCTGGATGACCTGGAAATTTAGGTCTGGTTTTCATTATTTTTATGTTTAGATAGTCTATTGAAACTTAGTATTTCATATTATTTATCAGTTTGGAACAATATACAGACGTAATTCAACACCGGTGGAAGTATATACTATGCAAGTCAAACTGACTTAACTCGCCGGTTGAATAAACAGTCTGAGGTTAAGTTTAATACAGAAAACGTATAAAAAACGAATGAATGAAAAACGGCAAATCCCTTCCTTAAGTAAAACAAACAACCGATTTTTAATGTACCATGTATTTCATTAAAATCAGAGAACAAATTTCATATAACTCCCTAAGACCTGAGATATACACATCATTAACTGAATAAATAATCTGTTCTTTAAATGTAATAAGGCAACTATAGTACGCAACATATGAAAAGTAAGGAAAATGATAAGTTTGGAAGCAGTGTTTGGACAGTTTACATGCTAGACTTATTTTTACTAGATCAAATCAACACATTTAGTGTCATGGTAGAATACATTTTATCTAGGGTGTGGTGTTGCATCTATAGTCACTTAACAGAACAGTAACGCTTTTTTAAATGTAAAAGTTATCAATATGCGGTTATGGAGATTATTCAGTTCAGATTAATATCATGAATGGATCTATGTCAGACCACCATGGGAAGCCTGGAAGTACTGGATAGCCGTTTCGTCCTGGTATGGAACTCGTCAGAAGTGCGCATATACGATTCCACACACGGGATTCGAACCCTGGACCTTTGATTTCAATCACGAACACTTAGCCTCTAGACCACTGAGCTGGAATCCAGGTGTGTTAATGTCTTGCCAATGTCAACGAGTCCGCGATGTTGTGCAATCGTTCACCATTGTCTTCAATGAGTAACTGCCTCACAACATACACGGTTGAACTCCACTGGTCACGGATTTCCTCGAGTTCTAGCGTAAAGTCGTGACCAATGGAGTTTAACTGTGTCTGTTGTGAGGTAGTTACTCACAAAAGTTATGTTTTTCTAACAATTTAATATTCTTTGATGATTTCTTTTTGAGAAAAAGAATAGTATTACAATATTCTAAATAAACAAATCTAATAAGCCTCGTTAATAGGTAAAAGAATCAACTATATACTCTGAATGCTTATTTAGCTAAATTTATGAAAACGAACTAATTTCCTACGATATCACTCTGGATAAAGTTTATCAATAAGTTAAATAAGTATTTCAACTGTTATAATTGATTTATAATTTCTCAATATTTGATAACATTTAAGTCATATAAAATCACATAATTATGTATCATAATTTCATTTACTCATCATGAGTCCAATTTAATTTGTAATTATAATTAACCACTATAATAACAACGGACCAATTAAAATCTCTAATAATGAAAGACTCTCTTCCATAAAAGCTCATATTGAATAATAATAATAATAATAATAATAATAATAATAATAATAATAATAATAATAAAAGTCTATGTACATATTACATGGATACTTTTGAAATTGACAATTCACTGTAAAATATATTTCCTCTTGTATTTATTCTAAATTACATGCAAATTCTCCCAACTTCAAATAATGATTCACTGAGTATGATAATTATTATTAATCCATATATTTCCCTATTCGTGTATGTATGCATCCATGTATATCATGAAGTACACAGAAATATACTATGTGTGTGTGTACACATGTTGTATATGTTTGCTTGGAGAGTAGAACTTAGTTGACTCACCTGTCTTTCTCCCATTGCCTTTACAACCTATAAGATTTTTTCTATCAGTTTTATATGATTTCTAGTCATCATAACAGGTAATGATGATTCCATTCTCTACATGAGTTTATTTTAGAATATTTGAGAAATTATCATGGTTTATAGTTTAGTTCATATTTATTCTTATGCATGATTTGATGACATTATATCTCAATAATTAGATGACAATATATTTTGAATGTTCAGAAAATGTGATAAAATTTAATCACCAGCATTATATTGAACTTGATTAAATTTATGAAATGATTTACTCAATCTTGTACATTATAAATTGTTTACAAGTATTATTTACTTGTTGTGAATTGAATATATCGCCTTTATTTAACTTTTGGATTGAAGAAAATATTGAAAAAGGTACTTTTATTGGCAGGCTATCATTGTCATCATCAACATCATCATCGTTATCGCCAACAGAAACAGCGATAGCAGATACTTCAGTATCATCGATTGCCTTAACTCCAATGGATTCAAAATATACATCTTCATATACCTGTGTCTATACTAGTTTAGCTCAACAGCCTATTTCAAACTATTTTCATATTGATTCCAATGATGGTTCTATATATGCCCTAAGAAAAATCGATCGTGAAGCTTTATGTGATGAATATAGTTTATTAGAACGTGTTAAAAAACATACTATAGATAGGATAAAAACTGATCAACACTCATTGAATAACAATACTATTGACATTGATAAACTCAATGGAAATCAATCGAATGCTGAAACTTTCAAGACAACAACTACTAGAACAGATAATTCCAGATACTACAGGAATGTTAATCACGAACTTGATATGGTGAGTCAGCCAATGACAACAAGCGTATGTCAAGTTAAATTCCAAGTACTTATCAGTGATACTACTGGGTTAAAATCAAAAAATAATGTATTGCAAGATGTACAAATTACAATATCTGATATAAATGATAATGAGCCAAAATTTGACTTACAAAATTTTTCATTAAAAATACCTGAAACTTCTCCAATTGATGCGGAATTTCGTTTACCACAAGCAACTGATCGAGATACTAGTGTGAATGGAATATCAGAATATCGATTAGTTCCATGTATTGATAAAAAAGATAATGAGAAATTTACATTATATCCTTATTCTTGTCATAAGCCTATGACAACTCTAAAACAGATATATTCAAGCATCAATATATTTATTAACCAACATGACAAGAGATTATCCACTGAATACAATGAAGAATCTTTACAAAAAAACTATGCTGGTGATTATTTCATGCTAAAAACGTATTCAAGATTTAATGGAAAACTACAACCAATTTTAAAACAAATTCGTCTTCTAGACAGAGAACAATTTCAGTGGCTATATCTATGTTTGATAGCTGTAGATGGTGGTGGTCAACAAGGCGCTACATGTGGTTATATTGAAATCATTGATGCGAATGACAATGTACCCCAATGGATTGGTTTACCATATAAAGTATCCATTAGTGAATGTGAACAAGATTATCAGCAAGCATACATCGATAGTAGTAGTAATAATAATAACTATAATATGTTTAGGTCACAAATATCATCACTTCGATATTTATATACATTAAAAGCTATGGATACTGATAGTGGGATATACGGACAAATAACTTATCGATTAGCGCAAGATAATAATTTCGAGTCTGCGAAAACTCACAATCACAAACCCAAAGTAATAATTAAAGAAAATAAATTATATTTACTTTCTAAATTAGATTATGAGCAGTTAACTAAATTTGTTGTTTATGTCGAGGCTATAGATGGTGGTGGATTGTTGAATTTTACGGAAGTTGAAGTCACTGTTGAAGATTGTAATGATCATGCGCCTACAATAATGCTAATTCCTGTAAAGTCATCACTATCACATATTACTGACAATAATTATAGTAATAGTATAAATATCAATGCCAAGAATTTACTGTCATCATCTTCATTTCCATCATTATCAGGATTACCTGTCTCCAATAATGTGGAGTCATTGTGGATAGAGGAGGAAAATTATGATCAAATTAAGTTAGCCACAGTTATGTCATTTGATCGTGATAAAAAAGACAGTGGTCGTGTAACATGTTATCTAGATAAATCTGGACAATTTGTAAACACTATCGATTACAGTCAGTTATTTGAATTGATACCAAGTCAACCAACATTTGGTGCACTCAGTACAAATACTAACAAAGGTTTAAGTAGTATGAGGCAAAATGATATATATGCTAATATTACATCGTCAGATAAACCATCAATATTTAGTTTATATAAAAAAAGTGGGGTTAAAATTGATCGAGAAGAAACTCCAAAGTTATCAATTGATATTGTTTGCACGGATAATGGAGAAGTGAATCCACAAACAACTAGACGAACATTACATATTTTTATTAAGGATATCAATGATCATACACCACGTATTTTAACAACAACAACAACTGCTACTACCGCTACTTCGACTATTGAAAAAATAAATGATCCATTGGAAAATTCAATTAGTAATGGAATTAACAGAGAAGGAAAAGATGAGAAACAGTTTATAAGTCAAATCTTTAGTGTACCAGAAAATGAACCATTTGGTACATATGTTGGTACAATTTTAGCTAAAGATGATGATGAAGGTATTAACTCACAATTACTTTACAGTTTTACATTGTTACCTGATGATAATGTCACTGATGAAATGAGTCCACAGAACTTATTCGAAATCGATAAATTAACTGGTAGAATAACCACATGTATCCCACTAGATCGTGAAACACAGTCAAGTTATTTATTGAATGTTCAAGTAATGGATTCTGGTATCCCATCATTATCATCAACAACTAGAATACGAATAAATGTAGCTGATGTTAATGATATGCCACCAGTATTTGAAACTACAGATCCTAGTGGTAGGATTATATTTCAGTTAACCGAATCAGTGGGTAATCGTCGTGTACATGGTCGACTAGTTGGACGTCTTAAAGCATATGATAATGATTTAGGTTCAAATCAAACTATTCGTTATGCAATTGTTAATGGTTCCCTTTCGCCAATTCACTTACCAGTTACTTATCGTGTATCATTAGATGGTAATATTTATGCAGATGGTATAATGGATAGAGAACTATTTCGTGAACATCAATTCACAGTAATTGCATATGATGCTGGGCCAATAAATCAACAATTAACTAGTACTGCACTAGTTTTAATTAAGTTACTCGATATAAATGATAATCCACCACAGTTTATACATCCATCAACGTCAGTATCAAATAAAATTCCATCAGATTTAATTAATATAACTATTGATACTTCACCTGGAACTATTCTTTATTCAATACAAGTAACTGATTTAGATGAACCAAAACATACTAAATTTAATTTTACATTACATTCAGCTCGTTTTTTATCTGATTATTTTTTATTAAAACCAAATGAAATACATATATCTGAAACAAATAGTTATAGTGAAGCAAGTGCAGATTTAATTTTAGTTAATTCTTTAACACAATTATTACCAACATATAAAACTAAGTACACAACAACAATGAATGAAGTTAATTTAAATATGAAATTAAATATTGAACAAACTAATTCATCTATTCTATCGTCGTCATCATCATCTTCATCATCATCATCATCAACAACAACAAATAATAATAATAATCAACATTATCCAATAGAATATTTTTTGTATATAATTGTTAAAGATAGTGATAAAGAGGTAGGATTTACATCGACTGCACGTTTACGAGTACATGTGTATGTTGATAATATATTAACACCTTCCTTATCATCAAATATAATTACATATAGACAAAATTTCAATTCATCAATGAATTCTGAATTAGCATCATTAAGTAATACTGAAATGTATAAAATTAATTCTGATCGATTATATAATGATGAAAGATTAAATTCATATGGTGCTGAATTAAAAGATAATACACAACTATTTCAAAATAAACTTACTACTACTCATAATAACAATAGTAATATGACTATTTTATTAATTGTATCTATTATTATCATTTGTATGTTTATTGGAGTATTTTGTTCAATAGTTATTTTTTATATTCGTGGAAATATATCTAATTGTCAAGAAGTAAATCGTCCTAGATCATCAGAATTATATACAACTACACATAAAACATGTTCAGATAATTGGTCAGTTGGAGAATTAAGTGAACAATGTAAAGTACCATCAAGTTGGGAAACATTAAATTGTAAAGGTGAGTATTATTAATAAAATTATTTGAAAGTTTTGCAAATAATAATTATTGTCTACAAATATACCTTTATATAAGATTTATTTTGTTATGAAGGAAGAGTTAATTATAGTTTAATAATTGATATTAAATATGAACTTTTTAAGCAAAGATGAATAGTGACTAGTAGTGGAATCTAGTACTTCCGTTTCATCCTATTTGGAACTCGTCAACTGGATGTACCTACATTGATGTTCACTCTGAGATTCGAACCCAGTACCGTTCGCTTCAAACGCCATCGCGTTATTCAATTAGTTACTGAGTCTTGAGTGCCACCTGGTTGTTCAATGGGGTGAAGTTTAAGTCAACATTAACATTAAGTGAACATCAACTCTGGGATACAAGTACATCCAGCTGACGAGTCCCAAATAGGACGAAACGCGCGTCCTGGATTCCACTGCTAGTCACTATCCGTCTTTGCTTAAAAAACTTGTGACCTGAGTCCACATCGAGGCAATCCGTACAGGATGCATATATGTCAACAAGAGACTGATCAATTGCAGTCCTAAATAACAATGGGAAGATACAAGTAAAACAACACCAATCAAATTTAAGTATGAACTTGTAACAAGAATAACTTTATAGAATCCCTTATAGTTTAAATATGCAGTTTAATATTTCCTTGTTTGAAATCTTGAACAGTGTAGACTTATTTAATTGTCCAATTAAGTGAATGATGTTATCTTTATTTTTCCAATAGGATCCAGTAGATAAGTTGTTTCACGGAAACAGTAGATTCCTTAATTTATCCAATTATTCGCAATTCATTTTTAGTCTAAACGTTGTAATAATAGTCTATGAAATTAATCATGGTTCAAAACTAAAGAAAAATCTATTTTAGAATAAATCTTACATGAATTTCATATTAATTTCGTAGAAAGTATTTTTCTTTTAAAAAGATATGTGAAAATTGTACCCTAATACAATTTGTATACAGCTTACTATTCTCTAATGATGACCAAACTATTGTACAGTAATCATTGATTTTCAAAGTGATTAATTTACGTTGACAATCATGAATTATATAGAATGCATTGAAATGAATTTTTCTCTTCGATAAACAAATATAAACTAATTATTTGTAATGTACGTAATGTACGTAAATATTATCCCATTCAATTAAAAAGATAATATACTTAGTTTTCTTAAGTAATTATCAACAGTTTTTGTTAATAAAAACTTTAGAATCGTTAAATTCATTTTGAATTGTTTGTTTGAATCTTCCTATTGATGTTTAGGACTGCAAATGATCAGTCTCATATTGGCATATAAGAATCGTGTACGGATTGCCTCGATATATTACATTAAGTCATAAGTATTATAAGCAAGGATAGATGGTAGCTAGCAGTGGAATCCAGGGTACGCGTTTCATCCTATTTGGGACTCGTTAGCTATCAGGAACTAGTAGTTAAGTGGATAACATGATAGAGTTTGAAGAAAACGGTAGTGAGTTTGAGTTCTGGTGTGAACATCAACTCTACGTTGGAGCTACATCCAGCTGATGAGTCCCGAATAGGATGGAACGCGAGTCCTGAATTCCTCTGCTAACCATCATCCATCCTTGTTCAGAAATGTTATTTCATCATATTTTTTTCTACTGGTTATTTCTAAGCAATAATAGTAATTACAAATTCTAGTAATAAGTAAAAACGATAAAATAATTTTAACCTTTCTGACAATTCAATATTGTTGAATAAATTAGGGTCAAATAATAGAATAGATCAATATTCTGTTAAAATAGTTTGTTTGCTTGTTTTTTATGTTCCATAGAAGGATTCTCTTTATTTTCATTGTTCATTAATAAATAAGTTGTTATCAAAATTATATTGCAGATTAGGAAAGTATCATAGTTACTTTGAGATTTTGGTTCAATTCCTGGTAGGTTAATCGGTACACATTTTCAAGAAGTCTCATATTAGAATAAAATAGCTTTAAAACGCTTTTTGATTTTTAATAGTTCACTAACAGAAGTCAGTGTGTGATAAAAATTATGTCATCGTTAACTGCTTTTTTTCATAAAAGATAGGTATAATTTGTAAGTGATGTTTCTTTTTGTAGGGATTGGTTGGAAAAAAGTTAGGGGAGTCCAAACCAAAACGTGGCATCAGTACACAAAGTCACTAACTTCTAGTCTGAGCCATGGTAGTAGATGCACACTACAAGGTTGGAGTCCGCTTGACTATCATAACCAATGATTGGAGACTGTGAGTGACACGACTCAGAATCAATGACAATATCATCGGTGTACACACTCTCTGTCTTCCCTTAAACTATGGGATTAAAATTGCTTCATATCTTTTTTCTGCCAACTAATTCTTTCTTCCTATACTATGTCCTTTTATGCAATCTTTCTTTCATATACTACCACCACTGAATGAACTTTTTCTATGAATCTGGTGTTCATCTTGTTGTGCTAATGAGGTATGGCAAATTGGACCGATGCAATAACTAGACAACTATAATCGTGAGGTCAACTCATGTCTATGGGATTCAAATGCTAATATCTTAAATATTAAAGATTTTGCTATTCTGTAAATTAATTGAGGTTACAAATTTGAACAATTAAGTTCCGAATCAGAAGTCTAATAATATATCAGTCTATCAGACCTTAATGAAAATATTTTTCATACTATTTGATTTATAGGATTCAATTAGGACTGTAGAGTGAATAAAATAACATTAAATAATGTTTAATGATCAATTTGTGTAAAAATTTTAGTTTTACAAACTTAAATAACATTTGACTATGACTATAAAACTAAAATTTATAACCTTAAATTCTATAACGAGTAATTATTCCTTGGAATATGAAGATACCTATAACTGATACATTGAAATTAAAGATCCTTATGATAATACCACTGAAAGAAATTATATTCACACATATTGCAAAATGATCTTCAATTTAAATAAAATTAAATACAATGATTCTACAATGCTATTTGCATTTAAACTAAGTAACTGATTCTGAAATGTTATCAGTTAAGTTTGTTAAACAGTTCAAATCGGATATATTAATGTGATTTGAAAGAAAAACATCAACACTGTAGTAAATATTATTCACATGCTATCATACATAGAAACAACTTCTGAAACATTTGTTACCTAGACAATATTTGAAATGAATAAAGTATAATTTTTTCACTAATAAAATTTTGTAGTGATTTGATAATTCTATAGAAACTATATGGAATATTCATACATCCGGTTAGTTCATTTATACTTTTCAATATATATATATATATTGAATAAAATGTTAGTTTAAAGAAATCCACAAGAGGATTATATTAATGCATAATGGGTAAACATATGCAAGAAATTGAGAAAGTTATCATCATCGGTTATTTTTTTTGTTTTTTTAAATCAGTTTTGAAAAAAAATACATTAATTGAAGGTTTTAGTAGATATGAAATGAAATTAACTTTACCAAAATTTTATTTTAACTGTTTCTAGAAAAACCTTCATCTGAATATTCAACATTCTCTGTATTTATTCATTATGGACTTAAGCATAATATAGTTCTTTAATTTTTCTATTATTCATCACTTTCGTTGGTGATAAGGTTTAAAAATTTTATAGGAATCATCATCATATCAATCAACCGAAGACTGATTGCACACAGTTTCTAATGTTTTGTTTCCAGATAATAAACGATAATTAAGGAATTCAATTGAGATCATGAATCGATTGATGTTAGACCATCATTGAAAACCTGAAAGCACTAGACGTACATTTCGTCCTAGTATGGAACTCATTAGCAGTGAGCAATTTCATGCATTGGTTAAAGTTAAACATTAACACAGTGTGATATCGGCTAGGTGGCTTATAGGTTAGGCGTTCGCGCTCTGGATCGAAGGTTCTGGATTTGAATATCGCGAGCGGGATAGTGAATGTACACTATTAAGGATTCCCTTACTAGAACGAAATGGGAGTCCAGTGCTTCTAAATTTTCGATGGCGGTCTAACATTAATCGATTCATGATCTTAGTTAAAAACCTAGCAATCTCCACAACCCCATACTGATAAGGAATTCAGGTTTCATATTCTAATCGACACTCATTTTCAAGATGACCCTAAAACATTGAAAGAAATCCAAGCCATTTAATGTTATATTGAGAAGAGTTATTACTTAGCTAATGTTGCCTTGTTCGTATTTCTGTATGACTGAAAAATTTACACAAATTAGCTTCTGTATAAAAAAGAAGTCATTTTGTATAATCTTGAAATATAGTGTGACTACTAGGCTGTGATTACTTCATCGTAATGAACTTTATTTAATAATCACAATAACCATTAGAAAGGTCTTATACTCATGGCAAATCATACAACATTGTAAATTCAGTTTTTTACTTATCTTTATTTATCTTAATAAGAATCTATTATTATTCTTGAAATAGATAAAATTGAATAGGTCAACTATATTCCTTTAGTTATTGTTAATCTATTTAATGCACATTATCTTTATTTATTGATAGACTAATGGGAACAAATTGATAAGCGTAAATTTACTGTCATGGAATTTACTGTTAATATGATATATAATGTGTTTTGTAGGTGTGGTGTTACAATAATAATAATAATAATAATAATAATAATTATTATTATTATTATTATTATTATTATTACTAAGTGATGAGTCATTATAAGAATCTAACCATTTATTACCAGATTTATCTGAATAAGTTTGTTCAGGTCAATTAATATTCTTCTGTAATGCTTCTTCCCCCCAAAAAATTGAAACTTTTAAATAATAACTAATGTTTATAGAGGATATTTTTTTGGTGGTTTTGTTCTCTGAGCTCCGAGAACAAAACTCCACCAAAATCATCCACCTGAGCTACAGATCTCCACCATCTCAGGATATTTTTTATTTGTTTGTCCAAAATAATCAACACAATAGATTTAAAAATAAACAAACAAACAAAACAATTGATTTGTTAATTTTTGTTTTATCTAATTGTAAA